GGGCCGGCCCTTGCGGGGCGGACCCGGTTGCCGCACTGGCCCCGGGGCGTCCTTGTCGCGGTGGGGAGCGACTGGTGACGTGCGACCTGCCCTTGCCCACCGCCCCCTCGGGGCTGCGGCCGCCTGCATTAGGCCCCGGGGAGCAGGGCTGCGGGTGGCCCATGAGCTGCCCTGCAGGTCCCCAGTGAAGCTGCCTCGGCTGCCTTGAATCTGGGAGAGGAGAAGAGGGAGGGGAGCGGCCAGCTCTTTGGGTTCATTTGAGGGTCAATGGGTGCTGTCCAGTGTGCTCTGCCCAGTGTCACGCCTTGGCAGACTTGTTATGAACGGTTGAGTTCCGCTCCTGTCCTTGTTTTCAGTATTATTTGTTCCAAGCAATCAGTTGTCAACTTTCCAGTAGCCTCCCTGTCTGAGGGAGGCCAATAAGTTACCTGGTGGGCCTGAGCCCCCTTAAGGTGACAAATAGGCCCTCCCCTGGTGTTTTTGTCTCCAGCCCAGGCCCATGTGACCTGGTGGTGGGACGCTTGCAGTTTCTGTTGGCAGAGTAGTGGGGTTATGCGAACGGAACAAAAGTGAAGCGAGAAAAGCACCTGAGAAGGAATCAGGGTGAAGGAAGAAGACTCCAAGTATCCAGGAGAATTGAACATTGGGCAGCTGCGCCCAAGTCCCTTAGCTTTGGGCACAGCCGGTTCATAGTTCTGTCGTTTCTGCCTGTTGCTTTAAGTGATTCATTTTGCGGTGTGGGGGGAGAGAGAGTCTCAGTCCCATTCCCCCTTCTTTCTCTTCTCTCCTTCCTCATCCCAAAACGGCAAGCAGAGGGAGACCCTCTTGCTTGGTTGACCCTTTTAGGTGGTTTGGGAATATGGGCTGTGCAAGGCCCTGGCTCCCACTGGTTCGGTTCCTGGCATAGCACTAAAGTGTTAATGTCATTCATCCTTCTTGTGAATGGCACTGTCCCTAGGCTCTGGAGGATGCCACCACTTCACTTGGACTTCTTGTAGGAAGTGGTGTCCTAATATTACATCCTTCCTTTTCTGGCCCTGGCAAAACATCCTTTTTCCATCCTTTGAGTGATATGATCCAGTTCGCTGGTTATTTCCTTTGTGTCCTGTGATGGGAATAAGTAGTCAGGACCTGTGGTTTGTCTTCTCCAAGCAGAATCTGCATTTGTTGTAAGCTTGGAGCTGCTGTTGTGTTTTAGATGTGACCTAGTTTTACTTCACTTGCTGAAGTGATCTGGACAAGCAGCAGCACCATCGGCTGAGTTACAGATTAACTCCTCCCCAAAGTCTTGTCCTCAACAGAACTGTAATTGAAGAGACCTGGTAAGGAAGAGAATCAAATGCTGCCAAGAGCATCAGGATTGGTAAAGGCACTTTTTAAGGTAGCGGGCTGATGTCAACATCAGGATAGTGTTAGCCAGATTCATTGTTGGATAAAAGGATCCAGTCTCTAGCGCTTTGCTTTGGTGAGATGGTGTGATTATGCTGGAGGGAAAATAAACAAGGGTGAGGAGCTGCTCCTCTCTAGGCTGTAAGGAACAGTGAATGGTAGGGTGTTATTTTGGCTTTGAAAGTGAATTTGGTGTCTTTATAGTAAACGGAGGAGATTAACCTGAAAATTGCCATCTGTCTGTTCCTGTGGGAGAGGTGAAGACCTCAGCGGATACTGATATTGATACTGCCATTTCCATAGGGAATGGAAAGAACTGGGAGGATCTCTTAGATTTTTAGACTTGATCTCGTTCATGTTTTCTTCTTTTTTGCCAAGCCTCCATTTCACTTGGCTCTTGTAAACAGAGAGAGCAGATTCCAGCCCTGAAGAGGGATTGACAACATTTTGTTGTACTGGTTTTCGCTACTGATATGGCTTGATATTAGAGCCAGCCTGGTACTCCTTGACTCCTCAGTCTTTTGGGGGTATGTTTTAAAGTTAGGGTACCTACGTGCAGTTGCACCAATATCTTTGTGCATTTGACTTACATGAGAAGCTAATGACCATTTTAACTTGAAGGATAATTATTTTTTCGTGCACATGGCATGACTGCCTGTGGATGTTAGTCTACATGCATAAACGTGTCCTGTGCTTCACAGGGTGGAAGTGTTCTCTCACTTGTTTTAATGAAAGACTGTCTTGCAGAAGTGATTCCAAACCTATTTTTCCTTAATGCTGTGCTTAAATCTGCTTGAGGGCAGAAGAGGAAACTAATATAAATATAAATCCACCAATGCAGCAACAAATATTGAGATGAAAAAAAGCTGTTACTTTGGGGTCTCAATAAGTCTTTTTTGCACAATGGGCCTAATAGTGGCTCTGCAGCTGTAATCATGGCAATAAAAAAACTAAGCCAAATCATGCTTTACTGGAAGAAGTGGCGCATTACTTCGACCCAGCTCTGTAGCGGCTGTATAGATCAGGCACTTCCATGGGGCTTTTTGGCACTTTTATCTAACAGCTTATATTAGATAAAAGCACCAACAAAGTCTCACTAAAGTGCCTGATCCATACGGACATTGGGTGAGCTGGGTCCAACTAATGTGCCATATCTTCTGGGCATGTTACTGGGCTTGGTGCGGGAGCGCGTTGAGTTTAAAGTAAAGCGCTGGGTTTTTTGTTGGGTTTTTTTGTGGGGGGGGGGGGGGGGGTTAATGTCTGCAAGCAGCCCATGTTACCACACCGGTGTTGGATTCTATTCCCTTCAGAGCTGCAGTTGCATCAACACAGGGGTGTTGGACTTATGGTCTATGGCTGGATTTGGCCTGCAGAGCCATGTTATGTGGCTCATGGGGCTTGTAGAGGGACATGGGGGTTTTGGGATGGGGGAAGCAGGGGTGGGACCTGTTGCTGAAATCTGGGGTACAGATCCCCATTGGTGATGTATATAGGTGGGGGGGGATGAGCAATGGCTGCATTAACTCTCACAACTCTATAGCCTGGATCTAGCCTGTGAGGAGTCCCCCCCAGTCTGGGTCTGGCTGAGGTGGGTGGCTGGGGTGAGCGGGGTGATAAGGGGAGGAAGTTTAACACATCTGCACTAATACACAGCTCTTGGAACTTTGTTATATATATATATACTCTGCTGCCTCCACAGTGGTTACACTAACAAACCCTGTTCTCACTGCTGGGTTTTAATTCCCTTTCAAGCCCTGAAATAACAGTGGTACAAACCTAGTTCCCAGTGTGGTGTCCCGCTTGCCATCCCAGTTATGCAGGTACTTCTCTTTGAGCCGGATGTGGTATATGTCTTCCGAATTCCACTTTTCTTTTTAGGGGGCCAGGAAACTACCGCTCTCTGTGCCCTTAGCTCAAACACAATTAGGCCTCTAGAGCAGGGGTCAAGAATGTTTTGTTAGAGGGCAGCTGCTTTAATGGTGCTTATCTATGAACACAGGCCACTTCCAACCTGGCCTGTACCACCAGAGCTGGAGTGACGGTTGCTGCTCCCCATGACAGTTCTACTGTCGCTGCTTCTCTCTTCTGCACGGGCAAAACCTTTCACTGCTGCTGAAATGCCATCAAGCCCCTTAGCCCCATGGGCTGGATAAAATGGCTCTGCAGGCTGCAGATTGTTGATCTTTGCTTGAGAGTAACTCGGTATTTTCTCTGCCCATCAGTGAGGGGCATCGAAAGATACGGTTTCTTTTGCAGAAGCTTTAGTTAGCTTTGTTATCCTGCAGCTCTTAATTGCTTGCCAACATCATTAGTTTCTTTATAGTAAGTGAATAGAATTACATCCTGAGTACCAGTTAAGCAGGGCAGGATATTTACTTCTGTAAACTGTGGCTGTGAAAGCATCTTGGGACTAGTTCTACTATATATGCTGGCTGCAAATGTGGCAGCTCCTTCATTTCCACCATCCACCTGACTTGGCACCCTGCCTGCCATTTCATGCAGAGATAATGAAATGAAAACTTGCCGGGCTGATTGAGGGAGACGGCTGGTTGGACACATGGAATTGTGTCTGAAATTGTACAACCAAAAGCAAATGGCCCAGGATTGTATTGATATCAAATGCCTGGGGGTTGAACAGTTCGATTCTTGCTGATTCTGGAGGTTATTAGTACCAAACTTGCCATGCGCATGATTAGAGGCCTTGTGAGGAGAGGCTGAGAGGCATGGGACTCTTCAGCCTGGAGAAGTGAAGGCTCAGGTGTGACTTTGTGGCAATCTATAAGTATATAAAGGGTGTTGCATTAGGAACTGGGAGAACATCTGTTCACCAGGGCACCCCAAGGGAAGACTAGGTTTAATGATCACGAACTGCTGGAAGACCATTTTAGATTGGACATAAGAAAAAAATTCTTTACTGTCCGAGTTTCCAGAGTCTGGAATAGACTCCCCCTAGAAGTGGTACAAGCGCCTGCTCTGGATACCTTTAAGAAGCGCTTGGATGCTTATTTAGCTGGGATGATCTGACCCCGGCTGACTTCCTGCCCCTGGGGCAGAGGGCTGAACTCAATGATCTCACGAGGTCCCTTCCAGCCCTAATGTCTATAAAATCTATTAAACAAGTTGTAATTTTTGGTATGATTTGTTGGAGAAGGCAAGGAATTCTGGGGTGAGGTTTGGGGTAGCTTATATAGATGAGACCAGAATGCCATTGTTGAACTAATGTTTTTTGCTGGTCTAAATAAACTGATTCTGTATGTGCTGGTAGGGTATTTCCCTGTAGATTTCTAAGCAGTTTGGAATCACTCAGTGATTTAAGGCCCTGTGGAAACTTCCAAGTTACTCAGGGGTGGAATGCACTCCTTTTTTTGAAAGGTGAAGCTACAAAGGTAGCAATTAGGCCTGGGGAGGTAAAGGCAGGAAT